ATTTAGCCCAGTGTCTGGCTGTCGCTGCTCTCTGTGTTTGACAGGCCAGCCTTTTAAACAAACAGCCAGCCCAGTGGCAGAGAGGCAGGCCAGGGCACCCTCTGCACCCAGCCACAAACAGCTCACCCTGGGACAAAAGCACTCAGCTCCTGACAGCTGCACCACAAACACTGGACACTGTCTCCCAGTATCTTTCAGCACTTCTGCATGCTACCACTGTACTCTGGCTATTTTGTGTCAAAATATAGATTCCACTGGCATTATCCAGGCTGCTTGTGTATTACAATGAGATTAAATATATTTATAGGTTTTCAAATTGATCAAACAACAAAAATTGTAAAATTTTACTAATATATTTTTTATTAACTTTGGTGGACAAAGAGGTCAAGATCAACATAAATTAAAATATATAGTGATATTATTGGAGTGGAAGCACATTTGTTTCAGTGTTTATCACCTCGAAGTCTGTAATACAAAACAGGCACACCTTTGCATTGCATTTAGACAGTGTCCCAACTCTGTCTGCCTTGTGCTCCTGGAGAATAACATGTGATTGAGCCTTTTCATGTGACGATCTGGTGTGGCATCCGTCCTGTAAATATACCAGTCTTAATATGTGTGTCCTATTCTGTATTCAGAGGAAGAGCAAAGTCAGCAGCTCCAGTATTAATGCATGAGCAATGAGCGGGGGCCCATAAGAATTAAAGGGTAAGACTCCCCCTTATTAAGATGTAAATTCTGGATGGAAAACTTTCCGAAATGAGGATATATCAGTGAAGTTATTGTCAACTTGAGCCTACTTATGCATTTCTAAGAGGCAATGTTGTTCAGCACATGTTAAAATTACATACAAGACAGGAGCCCATCTTTGTCTTTGTCTCATTTTGCCAATCTCAATACGCATCCCCCATACCCTATTGAACAATTCACACTTTTTGCCACTATTATCTAGCGGCAGTATACATAGCCGACTATTGTGGTAATTCAATCTGTGTGTGTCTCTGCGTACAGCGCTGTTGCCTGCTACCTCCTCTCTTTTGCTACATTCAGCTTGCTCTCTCATTTCAAATTTGCACTTAACACCTTCCTGGGGAAAGGCTTCTCATTCATCAATGGTGTTTGTCCCGGTGACAAGTAGGGCGCCTCCTGCATATCAATATCAGCTAAGACAATGCCGAGCCTGTAACCTTCAGCTAAATGTCATTCTGCTTAATCCTATTTGAAAATTAAACATTGAAAAACCTTTAGCGTACCTTCCTGTCTTCCTTCCCCTCTCTCCTTTCTTTCCTTTTATTGGCCCTGGCTTTCTGCTCTCTCGCTCTCCCCTCTGTTTTTGTGCTGTGTGACATTTGTATTGTTTGGTTGTTTGCGTGTTATTTGTATCCCATTATAGTTATTTAGTCAGACTGAGTTTAATTTTATGTCACTGAACAAAATAATATAGGAGCAGCCTGTCTGCCCTTCTGCTTGAAGCCATAAAAGCCATCAACATTCCCTCTATTTTCTGTCTTTGGTGACAGACAGTGTTTATTCTCAATGAAAAAAAAAAAAAATAAATAAAAAAATATATAAATTCAGCCAGACCATAGTTTTATAGCATAATGAGGATGTTTCTGTGTTTATTAAATAAAAAAAGAAAAAAATCAAGTTTTATATGTTCAATGATGCACCTATATAGATCTAGTGAGAGACTGTAAATGAGAAGAGCTGGGGTTACACAGATATGAGAAAGTGATCATTTGCATTACAGTCAGAGTGATATTTGTCTGTCTTTGGTGAAAAGGAGACGCAGTGACTCAAAGGCTGCCTTCATGTGACATATAGAGGTGACTGACCATAGTCACTTGGAGGATTAAATTGAAATTCTGCAAGTGTATGGTAGCTTTGATGTCTTTGTATATGGCCCTTTCAATTCAGATATGTTCGCTGCATCCATAAAGTGCAAGTACCACATATTTGAGGTTTTAGGATTATTTGAGTGATTCACTGAGTAAGTTTGGATTGCTTTTGTAGTGAACTCATTTCATTTTTACCAACTGTTTACTTGTACTTGCTACAGAGGCTTCTCTCTTTACTTTCAACTTTTATCTTTACTTACCCTCCAGGGTCACAAAGTTATCTGCTTTCTATCAAATGTGGTTTTATGCATGCTTTTCAGTTCTGCCATTCCTCTCACTATCCCAGAACAATAAACACACTGGTTTGTGTAAGCAGACTACTTAGATTATAAATATCCCTTAAACATGCATGCATGTTGACCTTTATTTAACAACTGAGATTTGGAATCCATTCTTTCGTTCTCTTTGTTATATCTCTGTTTATTTTTTAAAGGTGCTTTACTTAACAAGCAGACCACCTGCTTGTCTCCATTGCAATGTTAATGCTTTGTCAGGAATGTTTCACAGTATGACACAAAACTTTTCTCTTTCTTGTAATTATTAAGTTACTGGTATTTTTATTGCCCAAAACAGTCTTTTTAAAAAACTGTATTGCGTCACTTGCTTGTCTCCATAGAAATAAGATGTAATGCCATTTTGTGAAGCATTCCAGGCAAAGAAATAGAATCATTCACTGGAGACAGGCAGGTGGCCACCAACTCTCCAGGTTACATACAGTTACATAGTGCACCTTTAGATAATATTTAAATAAGATGGCACAGGTTGGCCAGAGTCCTACAGATATGTAATATAGTCTGAGGCTTGTGTGAGAGTATGTCACCGCAGTCAGAATGGTGCAAGCCTGACCTGCGTAGCAGGAGTGAAAAAAGAGGTGATAACTCGACAAGTTCAGTGTAAAAGTCGGGTGTTGGTAAGCTGCAGTTTTCAGATGTATGCTGAACACAGTGTTCCTCGCACTCAGAGTCACACTGTGTCGTAAACCTGTTATGTGTGAAATATTGTATACAAACACAGACACACTTGCATTCAAATATAAAATTAGTATGCCGTTTATATACAGTTGCTGAGCCACTAGGGTTGTGGATTTAAAGCAAGGAGAAAGATTTTAAAAATTAATGAATGATTAAAGAATATAAACATACTTTCACTTTTTAAACTCAATTACATAAGGATTCCTTGTGTGTTTTCCAGGTGGGAGATGCGAGGTGATGCTGAGCTGGATGATGAAGAGAGAACTATGGTTGAAGATCTTCGGCGAGTGTATTTTGTTTACAACAGTAACTCGGGACAACGGGATCTTTCTGAAGCAGTCGAGCAACAGGGAGAAGACACCCAGGGGGAAGCACTAGCAGTCGATAAAAGCACTGCCCAATAACTGTCCATGCGGCTAGGATTTTTACTATGTTGTAAATGTTGCTTTTTATACCAAGTCGCAGCTCACAAACTGGCAAACCACCATTTGGTCTGCGAGTGACAAGTTGGTGTAAGGAAAAAGAAAAAATTACGAACAGCAAACATGACAGACATGTAGCTTCTCTTATTTTGCACTAGCGACAATCTCTGGTTTCTGCTTTTTCACATTGCATCAGACATATCTCATCCTTGTGGAGCACACCTCCTGAAATCAGTTCTGGGAAATGGTGAGCGTGGATTTGTTTGCCTAGGACAAGACAGGACTGTGTGATCTTAGGAGGGAGTGGGAGTTTCTACAGACAGCAACTGTAAAGATACAGGTGTCAGCAGACTTTCTCCTGCCTCCTGAAAGAGAACTTAGAATATTATGTTTAATAAATATAAAATATATATATGTATGCTCTGTATTTTTATCGCCGTATGTTCCAAAATGCTGTTCGTTCTAAAAGGGACAATGACTGTTTTATATGATCTTACGATACTTTTATTTAATCTTGAGAAATATTGCAATTCTTTATTTTTGTAGAATGAGTGCTTTTGTTATTTATGAGTTAAATACAATTTAAAATTGAACTTTTTTGTGTGATCAATTTTGTGTCAATAATTAATGTTTGACTTTTATTTCCTTTCAAAATCTGCACTATCAGCAATTTTGAGCTGTATTACCTTTTTCATCAACGCTTCATTAGATTTGTACTATCTTCTATTATATATGTGATGGCACCTTCACACTACTAGAATACACACCTTTAAAAAGTTGACATTGAGTAAGTTGTATGAGGGTATCTGAGGAGTGGACATTGAACAAAAGCCTTTGCCTTTTTGTATTGTATGATACTTGGAAGCAAATTATGCTTTTCCTTTTATTCTGCTGTGCTTCATTGAGATTTATTAAAATGTTGGGCATGTTAAAAGCATAAGCATCTCAAATAATATCCCCTTTCCACTGTGAAAGAGGATATTATTTGACATGAATTAAAAACTTGAACACCTTTCCTCTCCAAAAAAACCTGAATGAAAATGAAAGCTAAAGTGCTAACTGCTATTAAATGGAGAACATTCTGATCAACCAAAGTAATGTCACTGTCAAACGGATGATCTTAGACTAATCTTATTGACCCACAAGGGAAACCTCCTGGAGCTCATTGGTTTCAGAAGGCCTTTACAGACAGGATGCAAATAATGAAATGAATATATATATATATATATATATATATATATATATATATATATATATATATATATATATATATATATATAATATAGATAGATAGATAGATAGATAGATAGATAGATAGATAGATAGATATAGATATATTTGATTATTTGCAAATTTTCATTTTCATTTCATTTCATTAAGCAAAGTGTTTATTTGAATTATTTAAATACGATTTTGTGTAAAATCTCTCAGTCGTCCAGAAAGAATCCATTGCAAAAGTAGAAATTCAATTTGTTAACTGGACAAAAGTATATTTGGTGGAATACGTTTTGACCAAATATACTTTGGTCCAGTTGACAAATTGCATTTCTCCTTTGCCTTAAATACGATTTGTACATGTCAACTTCAGTTCTCCATATGTTTGTGTTGCCAGTTCCTTCAAAATTCTGTAAAATACCTTTAGAAATACGGTCACAGTTGAAGTGCTACTGTCTCTTTAAATTTCTCTTCTACTCCGTTGCCCCGGTAACCCGGAAGTTTCGCTGCTCCATGCTGCTCCGCTCAGAGTCCTTCCTGTTTGAAAAAATCAAGGAAGCAGCCGCGAATGGAGAAGCGCCTGCACTGATGGTTCGTGAGTGAAACTAAAAACATGCATGCATCTGATTTTCGCTATGCAAGCTCTTGTCCATCTTTTTAAAGGGAAATAAACGCATATAAAGCACATTTAGCTCCCTGCTCTAAAGTCATAGCTGTGTTAAACCAATGTCCACATTGTGAAGTTTCAAAACACTTACACATACCCTACTTAATAAATAGTTTCACTCTGTCTTTACATATTTTATAAGCTGTCCTCTACTGTCTCAATAAAGATGAGTATTCGAATAGAAGTTGGCTAGCCTAACCATTGTGCTAACTTTGTTTTGCACGTGTGCTAGGTTTGTTTTGACAGCTTTAAATCACATTGGCTTCATGTAATTGACTAAGTAACAGGCAGCTAAATCTTTTGGTGGGCTAATCTATAATATATATGGTTGTTTTTAAGTATGCAGTCATGTGACAATGCTGTATTTGGAACCATTACTTGACACACTCTGACTGTACTTCTTAATGACCATACAGTATGTTAATGACATGGACTGTAAATGTTTACATATGGTTTATATGGTCAAAACATTCAGAAGTGTCTATTTTATTTACTTTGACAGAGAACATCCTAGAGGCTGAGATCCATGCTCCTTGATCACTGTGTTTTACTTTCAATCTTCTGGATTGTTACTATGGCCCAGGTCTCCCAGGAGGACAGGGAGAAAACTACTGCGCTCAAAGGTGAAGAGTAGAGTCTTTTGCAGTGGTGAATTTGCTATTGTGTTTTTGCTGTTTAATACACCATTCAAACTATATCCAACTACATGTACTTAAAGGTGCACCGTGTAATTGTGTGTTTTGACATGTTATTGCATTGCCTAGAACGTCTAAGTTATTGGTCAGTTCTATGAAGAGGCAACCCTGCTCACAGTAATAATGTGTGTTGGTCACAGTATTGAAAAAAAAACAGAAAAACACCTGTAACTGGATAAAGGATAAAGGGTATCCATTGAATATCTTCTTGTCGAACATCCCAGGCAAAGCAATAATTGAAGACAAACCGGTAGCAAATACTCCACCAGAAAAAGTTAGTGCACCTTTAAGAGTAGACCATATAAATATTTTGCTGTTATCTAAGTCTAGGTTTGTATTGAAAATAATTTGGGTTATTGATCATAATGACATGATAATATGAAATGACTCTCAATGCCATACAATGTTTATTATTCTTGACATGTTTGTTTTTCTTAGATTTACTTTCAAGAATAGACTTGGATGAGCTGATGAAGAAAGATGAGCCACCATTTACTTTCCCCAAAACACTTGAGGAGTTTGAATATGCCTTCAATGAAAGTAAGCCATAAAATATCTCCTCACACATTTGTAGAATCTTGTGACCTGTTTTGATTGCACTGAATTATTTTTGCATTTATGTCAGGGCTACAGTGCCAGAGAGATATAAAATGTTGTCACATGAATAAACAATGACTCCAATGAAGTCACTGATGTCTATGTTATAGTATCAGATCTTAAAAGTTAGACAATTACTAATCTCCTTTATAAGCTTAATCATAGACTAATATGTATCACAGCCAAGGCTAATTCACCACACCAGTCTCTAGGTCTATGTGGATTTAATTAGACCAGGCAGAAAGAGTCAGTGAGTTATAGTTACTGTGGCCATGGTTGTTCCTCTGGCTCTTAATATTCCCCTTTAGTTGTTTTCCCTGCTCTCTCTCTCTCTCTCTCTCTCTCTCTCTCTCTCTCTCTCTCTCTCTCTCTCTCTCTCTCTCTCTCTCTCTCTCCCTCTCTCCCTCTCTCCCCCTCTGTTCTCTGTCAGTGTCTCTGCTGGCTGTCTGGCTGGCTGAGTGGGGGACATGTTGTGTACTCTACGGCCCGTCAGTAACCTACTCAGCCTTGCCCTGCGCCTGACGTAGTATTTGCATAACCTCGCTGTGCCTAAAAACAGACACACCAGAGACTTACCCCTCAGCCATCAGTGTGGCACCAGCCTCTTCCTCTGCCTGCCCTAGTCACAGCTCACTCTGCCATGCAGCCACTCACTCTCACAAACCCTGCATCCTTCTGCTTTTTTACCACCTTTCTTGCATCTTTTACTGGCCCCATCCTTTAAAAATCTCCCAAATAAAACCCCCACACACTCAACCTACTGAGCTCACAAAATAAAAGGACATCTCCAACCATCCGACTATCGGTATGGCTTTCCAGTTTACTTGTTTTTGAAGGGTGTCTTTTCTATTAAAGCCTCGATAGCCCTCAGGCAGTGTCTCTAGTATGTCAGTTCACAGTCACTCTGGCTAGCAGGCATTTCTTTAGCTATACCCAGGCTACCTTTGACTGAGCCAGGTGGAACAAAAATGTTAATTTGACCATGTAATGATGTGAATACAGACGAGCCTGTGTACAATAGTTTGCAGGTATCTTAATCACTGAAGATGATGGCTTCATCTCACTAGCCCTCCGGTTTTCCATTACTGGAAATCCAAGGTTATGTACACCTAATTAAGCGGCCAAATTGAGAACAGAATGCTAATTATGACTGAAAAGGAGAAGAAAAGTTGGTAAAACGTTATTCCTCTGAGAGGATGCGTTGGGGGAGGCAATGAAGCTGATCACCCCCAGCCCTCCCCCAAACCGCCACACATACACGTGGTCGACTTTCTGTTAGATTTCATTTATAGCTCCTCTCTTCCTCCTCTTAGGCACTAGTGTTTAGATCATCACACCACCATGAATGCATAATTGATTTTCTTCAAGGTACTTTTTTCCTCTGCTTTACTTTAACTTTATGCCCATTGCCTGCAATTTCTCCAAGGCACACAAGTCTACTTTTAAATTTAACTTTGTGACAAACATGCTCACATTTACAAGTTGTCTAACAACCGTAACAACTGAGGCAATATGCAGCAGGTTAGGTTTCTGCATTGATAGAGGGGTTATAACAGTAAAAATGTTAATGCTGATGACAAATTTACATATTACAATAGACTTAAGTTCTCAAATATCTGGAACATTATGATAGCCCGAAGCCAATAGGTAAATATGTGCCCCCTTTTCCTGGATTGCTCTTTTAGGCTCTGCAGTTATAAAGGTCAAAATTAAATTAAACACACAATAGTTGTGGTGCACTGTCAACTGGAGAATATATGGACTCATTGTTAAGGAATAAACCAGGCATTCTGTCCTACAAAGGTGACATTCATAGATGTTTTACTGCTATTTTAGTTTTCCTATAATTTACACTGTATCATGGCTGCAAATGGATATTTTTTTCCTCTCAGACAATTTTGTGTGTTGCAACGGTGCCATAACTCACTACAAACAACTTCCAATAGCACAGCTTTTTAATGACCTCATTTGCTACTTTACCCCACCTTATTTTTCTGGTGCACTGTGTTATTTACAGTTACTATAATTATGAACTACAGCTCGACTCTCTTTTTACTGCTATTATTGGCTATTGAATGGAGTGAGTACCACTTACAGCACTTGGTCAGAATATAGAGAGGAGGCATGATGGGGAGACATGTCGGAGTAAAGAGGCTGTGAAAGAGAAATGTATTTTTTGTCATTCAGGTTGCCACCCAGAATGTATTGGTTACCTGAAATGTATTTGTATTACACACAGAACCTATACATACCAGCGATGAGAAAAGAGTTATAAAACACAATAAGAAGAAACTGTGTCTTACAAAGTAGGGCTGCAATATACCACAATATAAATAGTCGCAATTAACAAATTACAAAGATTGCAATTATCAAAGTAACATTATTTCTTCTGAAAATGAAAATATATAAAACCTGCTAACTCTGTAGCTTAGACCTCTATAAACATGCTCTGAAATGCATTGGATCCTTGCAGTAGTTTAGCAGATAAAACTTGAGTCTTATCTCAAATGTCGGACCTTGATATCTTTAAAATATGAACTTTGAACGGAATCCTGATTTTAAAATGATAAATTGTGAATCTAATCTCAATCATAATGCTTGTCAGAAAAAAATCCATTAGATATTTACTTAATCTCTATTTTAAAGCTCAACTACACAAAGTCCAAACTACCTGTCTCTATGAAATATTAGATTTGAATGAAAATGAAGCAAAATTCTTGACCATCTCTTCTTCTCAGATGGTCAGCTGAGGCATATCAGGACTGGGGAACCTTTTGTATTCAACGCCAGAGAGGATCTCCACCGCTGGAACCAAAAACGCTATGAAGCCCTTGGAGAGGTAACATGCATCCAAAACAGAAAAAATAAAAGTGTAATACATGGGTTACGATCAATACTGCACTGATTATAAATGCTATATCAAGTTATTGTTCAATATATGTTAGATGGAACAATATTTTTGCATAGGGACTTTTTCTTTATTCTAGTGGATAATTTTTGTTTATTTTTCTGTACTCTGATAAGATTTGAGCTGTAGAAGGTTGAATTATTAACTACTATGACTCATTATAGACACAAACTGACTATTTAAGGGTTGCATTCTGTTATTTTATTTTTTTTTTGAGGATCATTTTGATTAGTGGTAATAATATCGTGTATTGTTTGTATTTACTTCAGCAAAATATCGCACTTCAAAATTTGTTATTGTGACAGGCCTAGTAATAAACATTCTTAAGATTTGTGTAAAAGATTCTTATTGCTATACAAGAATTATGGATGTGCCAACATTTATAGTATTCTCTGTAGACCAATACCTGTTCTACTACTACTTCTACTACTAGAACTTACCCCACCATTATTGCTCATGATTTATTTGTGAGGTTGGAAGTCGTTAAGCTTCAAGTAAAACAAAGTGATACAAGTGTTTTTCTTAAAAAAATATAGGGGTTGCAGCACTTTGCATTAACTTCCTTTTAAAGCAGTCATACTACAGAGCACTCACAGTTTGCATTAAGATAATGAGACAAATGTTCTTTGTAATCACTTTTTCACTTTCATTTGCATCCACTAGTCATGTGTAACTTTTAATTGTTGTTCATATTCTTTGATGTTCAAAGCAAAGTGATGTGTTTGTTTGTAGGATTACCTGGTGTTTTATTATTTCTCGTGCAGGTATACAGGCACTCCTTTGAGAAGAGCATCCTGTAAAATGTTTTCGCTCTCTTGTGTTGGCTGCTTAGGCTCTATCTGGCAAACATCTAAAAAGGCTCAGCAATAAACATTTTGAAAGAGTACAGAAAAAAGGAAATAATTATAAATTCAAATATAAACCCATACATCCTGAAGGCCAGATAATCCAAAAAATGTCACACCCTCAGTATAAATGTTTTGTCACTGTCAGAGCAAATAATTTGCTTAATATTAATTAACTCAGACAGCCTTTCATTGTGTTACATTCTCTGTTTATATGTCCACACCAAGGCTAATTTGTAGTAAGTGGGTTGCTGGGTGTCCATGTAGAATGATCTGTCCCTGGATAGATGGGTAGCACTTTGTCCATATGATTATGTCAGTATATATGTCCTCTAATGTTGACTCCTAAGGTTTAGTTAGCTCTGTGCTGACCATAGCTTTAAACACCTTCTAACTTCTATTTTGTTCACCTTCTTGTTCTGTTCACTGTCGTACAGTATGCTGGAGGCCCCTGTCTGTGTGTGTGCGTGTGTGTGTCCATGGATGTTTATGGTTGTGTATGCCTGATAGGGGGCTGGGGAGGCCTGTATTGTCAGACACATCACAGCACCAGATGTCCAATTTGCACTTCAGCTTCGTCTGAATGGAGAGACACATAGAAGGAGGGAGAGGAGTATGTGTGATGGCCTCCAACCAAATGAAATAAATAGACACAAAATGTGAGCTCAAAGTGTATAGTAAATCATATCTTTTTATTCTACATATAGGACAAAATATGTTTTGCAAACATACTTTAAAATCGCCAGAACATTTTTACTATAATTGAGAAATGTCCTGTGTACACAAGCTGTCATCTATCAGGTTATAGAAATGAAATTTAAAATTATATCAATGTTTGCTGTAGCCTTCAAGATATTTTCTTGAAATGAACAATTCATAAATACTGACATTTTAGTCTATTATGCCAGTTTTGTCCCGCTTCATTTCATCTCACACTAAGTTTGGTCTGAAATGACACTGGTAATAATAGATGAGTTAGTTGGATTTGAACAGGGCCAGCTGAAGCTGATAGATTTACATGTGTTATGCACAGTGTGGAGGGTCACCTCTGCCCGTGCAGGTGTCAGTCGTGGTCTCTGTGATTTCTCTGATTCTCTGATGAATATGTGTGATAGCACTGAAGCATAGGGTCTGGCCCAGATGGAGCTCTATTAAGCTGTTAATAAATGAGGATTCTTCACTGCTCTGCCTGCATCTGTGGAATGGAAGGCACTCACAAATTTCTGAACACACACACTGTGGACACAGACACACACTGAATCAGAATATTATAATGATGTAAAGCCAGCCAGATGGCTGCATTAGAAGCTCTCTTTCTCTCTCCATCTATCCCAGTCTCAGGCATTCTCTGTCTTTATTCTTTCTTACTGGTCCTTTTACATTTCAGTAAATGTGTGTTCTGGGCTTTAAGCTAAGAATAAGAGCATTTCTGCTATTTCTATGTTATTCTAATTAGTTGTCTTTTGTGGGCAGGACTGACATTACATGTTTCCAAATGATTCAGTTTGTGTTTTGTACTGTCCCAGGCTACAGCACATGAGATAATAAACACTCATTTTGATGTAGCCCACTGTAACTGTCTTTGTCAATGAAAAGCTTCACGCTGCAGATGAAACATTTAGACTTGGTCATGCAGCATTATGGGATAATTGCACATTAATCAGACAGTAATACACAGGACAACTGTGACACAGCTTTGTTATCTTTTGTCTAGAAAATGACTGTCTACATTCGTTTAATTCAGTGTCTATGGCATATAACATACTGCTAACTGTACATTACCAGATATTTTACAGCTGTCTGTATGCTCTTAACATAGCATATGTTACAGTACTATTTTTACAACTATAACTTTAATCTAAAAATTAAGTTAAATATTTTTGCCGATGGAAGGTATGAGTAGATGTTTTGTCGGTACCCTCAAAATACCCTGAGGCCCTATACAAGTCACAGAGCTCTTTGTTGGGAGTTAATAGGATCTCTTTAAAGTGGAACTGTAAATGACAGCTGTCCGAACTGATTCACTGGCTCCTATCATGTCTCCATTCCCCAAACACTTCATCAGTGCTGCTTCAGCTTTCCCTTGCAGAGAAGGGAACACTGACATATAGGCAGATATACTCGGCTGAGAGAGACTGAGGTGCAGGATATTTGATGAGGGAGAATATAACTAATGAATTGGAAGAAAGAGTGCAATCTTTATATAAAGATGCACTATATGTAACTTTGTGGAGTGTCTGGGCTCTGTTTGTCTCTATGGAGATAATTGTGGGAATGTTTCAGAATAAACTTAATATCTCCTTGGAAACAGTAAATGTCACTATACTATTTTACTGGTCAGGTCTGTGGAGAGGTGGTCTGCACGCAGTAAGAGTGCAAGTAGTCCTGTCATGATAATCAGTATATTGACTTGTTTTACTGTTATAACTGAGAGATGGACATTACTTTTTGGGGTTCTGGATTTAATGCATGTAGTTTTTTTACTAGTCGATAACAATAGATTTGAGCTGTTGAGGCTTGGAATAATTAATTTGTATCATGACTTAAGTGTTTCATTCAGTTATTTATTAGTTGGAGCTCATGTGTTTTTTTTGTTGTTGTTTTTTTTGTTGTTGTTTTTTTGTACATTTAGAAAAGGTTTTAATGGGAACATCCTGCTTTATGGTTATGGTGTCAGTGGTATAAATTAGTGCTTAGTGTGTTTTTGAGCAATAAAAATTGTTGCATAAATGGATGATAAACAATTTTAGTGACATACACATTTCAGGCCAAATAATAATAAATAAGTAATATATTAATCTCCATGAAGACAGACCCTCCACTTGAAAAGTTACATGCTGCATCTTTAATTAAAATTTGGTGTTTTATATTATTGTTATATTGCTACTTTAGGTGCACAGTATACAGAGAGGCTCATTGTGTCCGCTGGTCTAACACATGAGTGAGAAGGTCATTACAGGATGGTGTTAAGGAGAGGCTACAACAGCAGTCAGCAGTGTAAACAGTGCTTCTGTCAGTGAATGCCTGAGAACTGTCTTCCCCTGGGGAGCTCTGTTTCCTCTGACACAAGAATGACAGAGACCTCATGGGATACACTCCAGTCTCTCTCTCTCTCTCTCTTTGTTTCTCTCTTGGACTGACAGATCATAAATTCACAACAATGGGGCCTATTTTGATACTACTTACTGTTGGTACATAAGGCCGACTTAAAATAAACAACCTTTCTATTGCCTCATGCACTTCATTTTATCCCGCCTGTGAGGATGCTCCGCTGCTGTTGCTACTGTTGTTGTTGTGTATTGTTTGAGGGGATCTTCTTTTCCTTTTCTTTTCCTCTCTATTCTCTGGAGAAGAGGAATGCTTTTCCTGGGTGCAGTCAGTGATATGGCAGAGCTGCTCTTTTACTCTCATTATATAAACAGCTTTAGAAGCCTCTCCGTGCTCTCTGTTTCTTATGGCTAAGTGGCTTTTGGAGAGGGTCCTGGACTTGTGAGACAAGAGGTACAGTGTGCATCAGTTATGTGTGCTTGCACTCTCTCTCTCTCTCTCTCTCTCTCTCACACACACACACACACACACACGCACACACGCACACACTATACTGCAGACACAGTATTAAATGAAACATGTTTCTGGTCACATTTATTGTCATATAGAGACATTTCACAAACTGACTTACTTGGACCTATAACTGGTGAGTTATTATTACTACTGATTTGTAGTCTTAAACAAATCGCTCTGAAATATTACAGTTACAATACAAACTAGCCAGCATTAACTTGACAGTTTTTTAGTTACTCACACTCACCATTTTAATTGAAAATTAAACACCTAAACAGAACCATGAATGTTCATATTTATCACAGGCTCCTGAAAATGTGTTGTGTGAATGCATTTTGTATTTTTTTCAGACATTTGCCACTGATAACTACAACTAATCTAGATCTAAGGATTACTGTCAGTGGTTTGTGACTTGATTGAAACACAATTTATCCCTAAACTCTTGAGATTTGTGCAAACATTTCACCTCACCTGCAGTAAAACCCTTTTTTATTTAGGCAAGGCAGGTTTATTTGTATAGCACAATTTGTATACAAAATAATTCAAAGTTTAGGAGACTTGCAGCACTTCATCTTCATCAACTTAGCAAGTGCTTAGAAACCCTTTTCACTCTTCTTCTTTCAACCTTGATCTTGGTCCATTAAAATGTTGGAACTCAGTGTAAATGAGTAATCAAGAATACTGTTCTTGCTGTAGTGTTGTATTCAAGTTTAATAGTTTAAGAATTTGGGGTACTACAATATTATGATATTAAGTTAAACGCATAAAAAGATACACCGGAGCTATGAAAAAAAAGTCAAACAACTAAAAAAAGAAGACTAGTATAGTTGCGCGTAGAGGTGGGACTACAGGTGGAAATTTGCATTTTCTTCAATAATGTTGTACAATTCATATTTCTTTTTGGTTAGTGCTTACTGTACAATGTTACTGCATGAATAAAAACATACACACAAACATATTTAAGGCATCAGGTAAAACAAAAACAAAAAATTAATGGAAAGAATATATAGAGTGAGTACTCCACATACATAAGAGTTTGTGGTGTGCCTTTGTTTCCTCATGTGTTAAGCCTGTATTGTAGACAATGAAGGCACTCAGTGTAGCTTCCTGCTGGCATTTCATTAAGCCCTAATAACACACAGGTAATTAGGTGACGAAGAGGCTTGTCTCACTGCACTGATCAGCTGCTGAGACGCCGTCCTCCAGGTCTGGCACAGCAGGCAGTTGTGTGATACATGCTTCAGAGAAATTTTCTCAGGTTTAGACAAAAATACAGAAAACATGTATGTCTCAAGTATGTCCAGTGCTTTAAAATAACTTTGACTTATCTTTTAGTATGAAAGCTGGAGCAGTATATTATTACTTTTTCTTTGCACTACTGGAAAATTTTATGGTTATTTTTTGGCTATATTATAAGATTTGAGCCATAGAAGGTTCAGTTAATAAACTGATTCATTACAGATTCAAACTAAAGTGTTTCGTTCTGCCCTTTAGTTACTGCAGTGTGTTTTTTTTTTTTTTTAACCGTATAGTAGATTTAGAATAGTTTTTGTGGTATAAAACTGCTCTGAATTAGTTTCAAGTATTATCCTTTATCATCTATATTCTCCATATCAATATATTGCACTTCAAAATGTGTTATCGTGATGGGTGTAAGTAACCGAATACATGTACCGACAATACTGTATTTACAATAGTCATTTTGAGTAACTGCATTTCAGTACAGTTACTCTTTCATTTGGTAGTATTCAGAATACAGTTACTTTCCTTAAATCAGATAAATACATTCCAGTACTTGAGCACAAAATTTAAGCTTCAGACTACACAGAACTAGTGAAAAAAACACAAAGCACCGTTCTTGTAGTGAGTGCATGTGTGATTTTTTTCATCCCTAATGAAATGGATAACAAACAGTGAAACAACAGTTGCGTATTCAGAATACAGTACTCTGACCTGTGTATCTGTATACATTACAAAATATATTGTAATTCAGGCATTCAGTATTCTGTAACTAAATACACTGTCAAATTATTGTTCCTATTACTGAGTATGTTCACAATATGCAAGTGAATCAAAACAGATAGGAATTAGGAGTCTTAATCTTTAATAGTGTATTTTTGCTCAGCTTTGTTTTTTTTCAGTTGAGTTATACCTGGCCTTGTATGATTTCTGTTAGTTACCACCTTATACATACACTTAAATTGTTTCAATGGACATACATGGGATTAATAATGGTATGATTGTCCATTAATATTATATTTATCACGTACTAGACAGTTTGTTAAATGTTTTTTTTTCTTGTCCAAGTATGTTATTTTTGCAGATTTTTCTGGCTAGTGTGACCAGTGCATTGTCACACTTGGCTAAAGTTAGTTCAGAGAGATGTTGCCAACTCCAGTAGGACTCGAGCTGAGCAAATAATCCAATAGTAATGTCCAATGCAAATACACATACGCAGCTCTGATGAACAAAATCACAATACCCTGTTCTCTTCTAAGCTGTACCTAAACCAGGAAAAGTGAAAAAGGGTTCTGAAAAGCACTGTAAAATGGAAAAGAAAATTGTTAATGCCACTCAACCATGAAAGGTTTGTCCTGGGGCTGGAATGACTCGGTATACAAGGTTCTTTAGTGCTTTGGCTGCAAGGATAAACATAACTTACATCAGACCAGTGTCCGTAGAGCAGATTTCCTCTCCTGGCACTTACAACCTTAACACTCTTTTACACAGTGCTTCCCATTCACACACACATGCACTCACCCGTTGGGCTTAGATGTAATGGCTACAATACACTGACTTACATTTATTTCCTGGAGACTGATCCTAACTTTAGCCATATTTAGGATAACCTTAACCTAAACCCTAACCATAACCCACATCTGAATATTAAACCATGTGGTTGATCAGGATTTAAGTCATGGAGACCTGATGTTTATCCCCATTTTTGTATACAGATTTTATACACCAGAAATTCCTAAATATCTACGCATAAACTCACTAAACTGGTCTTGCCGCTCTTATTATACAGTTAAAGGTGCACTGTGTAAGTGTAACTTTTTGATTGGGGGTCCGTCACCTTCTTTTTTCTACGGATATGTCATTGTTCCATGAAAGTTCCACAATATAACATTAAACAGCTCCATTTTACTTTTATTAAATTCCAGATGGTTTTAGAGCTCAAAAATACCTAGAAAAACAGGCATTCTGACTGTGAGCTGGGTTGCCTCTTCACAGTTCTGATTTGTAACTTGGTTTGGTTTGGTCTCCATGAAGATAGAAAGGTTTATTACTATACTGTGAATCTTTCCAGGAAAAGCAATAATGTCTTCATGGAGAAAAGAATTTGACAAACTCTCCACCAGTAAAATGTAAAATAAATTCATCCACATAGCATCATAAGTGAATGTACTTGTTTTAACTATTGATAAAAGGAAGGCGTCTTGTCAAGGAGGTGGTGCGATGGAAAACCTTTGCAAAATTCATCAGTGTCAAATAACTACTTTTGTTTGTCTTTTCTTTTCAACAGATTATCACTCAGTATGTTTATGAGCTGTTGGAGACACAGTGCAACATGACTAGAGTTTACCTGCCAGTAAGTACCCACACCAAGAAACATACACCTTCTTTTATTATTAAATTACTTTGGCTCCTGCTGTTATTGTAATGTGTGTTTTGTTATAAAATAATACGTGAAAGCAAACTGCTTTGAGTGGGTATGTCAAAAAAAAAAAAAAAACAAGAACAACAACAACTTAGCCCCTTATGATGAGTGCAACACAGAGGCCAGTTACGTCGCCCGGATTGTCGTCACCGGGGCCTCACCCTGGAGCCAGGCCTGGGGTGGGTGCTTGTCAGCGAGCGCCTGGTGGCCGGGCCTTCCCCCACGGGGCTCGGCCGGGCTTAGCCCGAAGGAGCGACGTGGGGCCGTCCTCACGTGGGCCCACCACCCGTGAGAGGAGCCATATGGGGCCGGTGCAGAGAGACCTGGGCGGCAGTCGACGGCGGGGCCTCGACGACCGGATCTCCGGACATGGAGACTAGCTCTGGGGACATGGAATGTCACCTCGCTGGGGGGGAAGGAGCCTGAGCTTGTGCGGGAGGTTGAGCGTTACCGACTAGATATAGTCGGCCTCACCTCCACGCACAGTTTGGGCTCTGGAACCCAACTCCTTGAGAGGGGCTGGACTCTCCATTTCTCTGGCGTTGGCCGCGGGGAGCGGCAGCGGGCTGGTGTGGGCCTGCTCATTGCCCCACAGCTCAGCTGCTGTGTGTTGGAGTTCACCCCGGTGAGCGAGAGGGTCGCGTCCCTGCGCCTTCGGGTCAGGGACAGGTCTCTCACTGTGGTGTCGGCCTACGGGCCGAACCGAACAGCAGTGCTTGGAGTCCCTTCTTGGAGGAGGGGTACTAGACAGTGCACTGACCGGGGACTCCGTTGTTCTCCTGGGGGACTTCAACGCCCACGTGGGCAACGACAGTGACACTTGGAGAGGGGTGATTGGGAGGAACGGCCTCCCCGATCTGAACCCGAGCGGTGTTTTGTTATTGGACTTCTGTGCTAGTCACGGTTTGTCCATAACGAACACCATGTTCGAGCACAAGGGTGTCCATAAGTGCACGTGGCACCAGGACACCCTAGGCCGGAGGTCGATGATCGACTTTGTAGTCGTGTCATCTGATCTCCGGCCGCGTGTCTTGGACACTCGGGTGAAGAGAGGGGCTGAGCTGTCAACTGATCACCACCTGGTTGTGAGTTGGATTCGCTGGCAGAGGAGGAAGCCGGAAAGACCTGGCAGACCCAAGCGTATAGTGAGGGTCTGTTGGGAACGTCTGGCGGAGCCCTCTGTCAGGGGGACTTTCAACTCGCACCTCCGGGAGGACTTCTCCCGGATTCCGGGGGAGGCTGGAGATATGGAGTCCGAGTGGGCTTCATTCTCGGCCTCTATTGTCAATGCGGCCACTCGTAGCTGTGGGCGTAAGGTCTGTGGTGCCTGTCGCGGCGGCAATCCCCGAACCCGGTGGTGGACACCGGAATTAAGGGATGCTGTCAAGCTGAAGAAGGAGTCCTATCGGGCCTTGCTGGCTCGGGGGACTCCTGAAGCAGCTGACGGGGTACTGGCGGGCCAAGCGTGCTGCAGCCCGTGTGGTCGCGGAGGCAAAAACTCGGAGCTGGGAGGAGTTCGGGGAGGCCATGGAGAAGGACTATCGGACGGCCTCAAAGAGATTCTGGCAAACCGTCCGGCGCCTCAGGAGGGGGAAGCAGTTCTTCGCCAACACTGTTTACAGTGCGGGGGGAGAGCTGCTGACCTCAACTGGGGACGTTGTCCGGCGGTGGAAGGAATACTTTGAGGATCTCCTCAATCCCACCGTCACGTCTTCCAAGGAGGAGGCTGTGCTGGGGACTCGGAGGCGGACTCATCCATCACCCAGGCTGAAGTCACTGAGGTGGTTGGCAAGCTCCTTGGTGGCAAGGCTCCGGGGTTGGATGAGATCCGTCCTGAGTACCTTAAGTCTCTGGATGTTGTGGGGCTGTCTTGGCTGACACGCCTCTTCAACATCGCGTGGCGGTCGGGGACAGTACCTCTGGACTGGCAAACCGTGGTGGTGGTCCCTCTGTATAAGAAGGGGGACCGGAGGGTGTGCTCCAACTATAGGGGGATCACACTCCTCAGCCTTCCCGGTAAGGTCTATGCCAGGGTACTGGAGAGGAGAATCCGGCCGATAGTCGAACCTCAGATCCAGGAAGAGCAGTGTGGTTTTCATCCTGGCCGTGGAACACTGGACCAGCTCTACACTCTCCATAGGGTGCTCGAGGGTTCATGGGAGTTTGCCCAACCAGTCCACATGTGCTTTGTGGACTTGGAGAAGGCATTCGACCGTGTCCCTCGTGGTGTCCTGTGGGGGGTGCTCTGGGAGTATGGGGTTCGGGGCCCTTTGCTAAGGGCTGTCCGGTCCCTGTATGACCGGAGCAGGAGCTGTATTGCCGGCAGTAAGTCAGACCTGTTCCCGGTGCATGTTGGACTCCGCCAGGGCTGTCCTTTGTCACCGGTTCTGTTCAGTGTGTTTATGGACAGAATTTCTAGGTGCAGTCAGGGGCCGGAGGGGGTCCGGTTTGGGGACCACAGGATCTCATCTCTGCTGTTTGCGGATGATGTTGTCCTGTTGGCTTCATCGAACCAGGACCTGCAATGTGCACTGGGGCGGTTTGCAGCCGAGTGTGAAGCGGCTGGGATGAAGATCAGCTCTTCTAAGTCTGAGGCCATGGTTCTCGACCGGAAAAAGGTGGCTTGCCCTCTCCGGGTGGGTGGGGAGTCTTTGCCTCAAGTGGAGGAGTTCAAGTATCTCGGGGTCTTGTTCACGAGTGAGGGAAGGACGGAACGGGAGATTGACAGGTGGATCGGTGCAGCTTCGGGAGTGATGCGGTCGCTGTATCGGACCGTTGTGGTGAAGATTTACCGGTCAGTCTTCGTTCCTACTCTCACCTATAGTCATGAGCTCTGGGTAGTGACCGAAAGGACGAGATCGCGGATACAAGCGCTCGAAATGGGTTTCCTCCGCAGGGTGAATGGGCGCTCCCTTAGAGATAGGGTGAGGAGCTCAGTCACACGGGAGGAGCTCGGAGTAGAGCCGCTGCTTGCTCCTCCACGTCGAGAGGAGCCAGTTGAGGTGACTCGGGCATCTGTTCCGGATGCCTCCTGGGCGCCTCCCTCGGGAGGTGTTCTGGGCATGTCCCACCAGGAGGAGGCCCCGGGGAAGACCCAGGACACGCTGGAGGGACTATGTCTCTCGGCTGGCCTGGGAACGCCTCGGTGTCCCCCCGGAGGAGCTGGAGGAAGTGTCTGGGGTGAAGGAAGTCTGGGAGTCCCTGCTTAGGCTGCTGCCCCCGCAACCCGGCCCCGGATAAGCGGACGAAAATGGATGGATGGATGGAACAACAACAACTTGCTTTTAATGAACTACTAATCTTGATCAAACAAAATACTAATTTAAACAATATCTATTGAAAAATCATATATTTACATTATAGAACAAAGTTGGATGTTGTCTTTCCTTTTCCTTTGGCTTTTGTTAAGACTATAGGGGCACAAAATAATGTTTATAATGATTAAATCAGTCATTTTTAAACTGTAGTCTCTCTTTTCAGTTCACGATAATACAATAAGCAACCAAGTCTGATTATGTTATGCCAATACTGTTTATAATCCAGTTTATTTTGGACTGTGATTTTAGATTGCTGTGTGTACAATTTTATACTATGCCACCATAGTCTCCGTATTAATGGGAAACACTGTTGGTTTCCTGAATAGTTAATTTTTCAAAATTAGTATAAGACAGTAGCAATATATAAATTGCACTTACTCTGTTGTGTAAAAAAGAGCATTTTTAATCATTCATCATCATTAATAAAATTGGTATTGGGTATCAAACTCTCAAGTTTTAATGTAGTTTTAATTTGATGACATCGCTATCCTCATTAGTCTTTGTTGGTCTCTTATGGTTTTACTCTTGAATTGTCCCCTCCCATCCTCTGCCCACTTTGTTTATGAAAAAGTGTTTCTGGCACAAATGAACTGTATTGTGATGTGTCATTTCAAAGCTCCTGAGCTGCTGCATGCTGATGCCTAATCTGTTGTGCATTCAGTGCTTATGAAGGGGACTTTTCTACTATGGTAACTGCGAGTTATTCTTTCCTTTTCTTTATCCATCCTCAGAGCACCCACTTGATCCCACCCATTTGTTGTTGTAAGCATGTTTTTGCCCCCCTTTACCTTCCTGTCCCAGCTATTTTTTTTTTCAGTGTTTATAAATCTTGTGATCATTTTTCAGGCCGCGTTTATAGGGATGTTAGCTAGAGCTGGTGTTTAGTGCATAGCAGCTCCAGCGCTAACAGTGTCCATAAATCACCAAGCCAGAGACACAGCGCCTTTCATTAGCCCCCATACACTTTTACAGGTTTATCTGCCTGCCCTATTTATCTCATTATTCCTCCAGAAAATTGCTCTGTTCTGGTTTTCTGTTGCCCACCCGCCTCTGTGAGTGTGTGTGTGTGTGTGTGAGTGAGTGTGAGTGTGCGTTGGCGGTGGGTCCGTGTCCACCTGTATAGTGTTGAACTTGTGACCGCAGATTTTAAGAAGATTAACCGCCACCAAGTATAGGGAAGGGGAATGAATGAAGATTTTCTCTGGCTCTCGCCTTGTTTTGTCATCTTGGATTAAGTTCTTGCAGCTGCCACCCCATTGCTTTTTATGGACACTGTCTCCACAGATTTTCCCAGGCAGCAGACGCACACATATTCATGGACGGTGCACAAAGTTGACTTGTAGTTTATATACAGTATAAGGTTGGCACAGATATCTTGCAAAAATAAAAATTTATGCTTACAATGTTTAATTATAGAGGTGTTTGGAGTTGAGTCTAAGTTTCTGATAGACTTCATATTTAGATGCCGAAATACAAGAGTCTGGAATCCGTGGATCAAACTGAGCCTTCTTTAAAAGCGAATTAAATTATTTAAGGCTAGGGCTATAGTTCAACTAAACAATGGCAGACCTGGGACTAAACCAGGACTGAACCCAAACAAAAACTAGCACACAGATCTTAACCAATACTGAGTGATGTATTACAATGTTAACTCTGACAAAAATGGTAACATTAAAGTGTGATATTGTGACTTTCCTATCCAGGACTAAAGGTGGTGTAAATCCATATTAAACTAGAAAAGCACTCAGAGAGCGCAGACCTCCGCTAAGGACTACCCCCATTTTGTATATAAATTGCGATAAAATCAGTCTTCTGGATCAGATCCGGATCAGCGTTTGGAATATGAAGGAGGATCCCATTGTCCATCCCGGAGTCAAATTTCATGGGGTTTGGTCAATAATTAACCGAGATATTGAGAAACAAAATTTTTGGACCCATTTACCACAATGTTAACTAAAATTTCACAGTGATCCAGAATCCAGGATTTCTTCTGGATCACCCCCAAAATGAAATCAGTTCTTCCTTTTCACATTTCCAACAAATCCTGAAAATTTCATCAAAATCGGTCCATAACTTTTTGAGTTATGTTGCTAACAGACAAACAAACAAACAGACAAACAAACGGCAAAAACATAACCTCCTTGGCGGAGGTAATCATGTGTTTTCAAGACAATCCTAAATTATTTATGTGTACTGTATTTTTAATGCGTGGTCACTGTACTTAATTGCCATATATATTCTGTGTGTGTGTGTGTGTGCCCATCATACTTTTGTTGTATAATATGCTCCTTCGTATTTGTTTTCCGTGTATAATTGTTCAGTTTTTCCTTGCAATACTATTGAGAGACATATCATTTGTGTGTTAGGTGGATGCAAAAGAGGAGGAGCCCACCAGTTTTATCTATGTGACGGATGATGCCCTCTCCAACCCTTCCAAGCTGCTGGTGCTGATCCAGGGCAGTGGGGTGGTGCGGGCCGGACAGTGGGCCCGCAGGCTCATCATCAACCAGGACCTGGACTCAGGAACGCAGATCCCCTTCATCACCAGAGCCATAGAGGTAATGTTCACAACAAAAGAATATGCATTTCTAGACATTAAAGGCAGAGCATTCTTTGATCTTACTTTGTTTTAATGGGAAATTATATTAGCATCAAACAATGGGAAACTCTATAATTAATCCACAATGTATATGATAGATTGAGTTTTGAATGTATTTACACTTTTTCCTCATTTTGGACCAGCAATCAACTTGTGAATGTTCAGACACATATTTAAAAGGATATATTTAGCAGAATTTAATAATATGATAATTTAATTCAAGAATAACTTTTTATATAATATTTTAATAAAATAAATAAAATTGTAAATATTTGTAGGAAGCAAATACAATTTGAAGAGATTTTCTGCTCATTTCTTTACATTATTTACAGCATTTAACATGCCACCAATTATCTTTACTTTTCTGAATTTGTGTTGACAGTGAAAGTAGCTCTTCTCTGGGCCACATACCAAGTGTAAAAATGGGTACAATAGTTGCCCGGGTTGTGCTATAGTTAGTCTAAACAGACTTGGAAAACCGAGTGTTCATTCATTGACACTCCCTCCCTCTGCCAAGTCCTTATTTAGACCTCCTTTTCACACTTTTCTCGTAGTGGTGATTACATTTTGTAGAAACAGAACAGTACCATGTTTGTTATTGCATTGTTAATTGTTAATATTGTCTTTGCGAGCATAAAGTGTGTGCATAAGAAAATAATACATTTCCGTTAGCCCAAAAGATAAAATGACAGGTGAGAGGAGCTGGCACGAGAAACAACCACAGAGCGAAAAAAAAAAAATGTGATTGGGGAGTGAGTGCGGGAGTGGAGGGAAAGATTATGATTGGTTGAAATCGGACAGAGGGGGAAAGAAGAAGAGGAAGAAGGGGTTTGGAGAGGATTGAAGCAGGACGAAAGAGGGAGAGGGAGTGACTGCAAATGGGGTGGGGACTGGCAGAGGAGAGATGGGAGTGTAGCCGGAGAGAGTAGGCAGAAGGCAGGCGTCTGACAGCACCACTACTGGGAGAGGGCCTCTTAATGACAGCTTATTCCTTCATGATTTCAATTCCTGACAGTCGACAGGTCTGCTTGTTGCATCATGGCAGCTGTATCATTACCTTCTGGCCCTGTCAATGCGCCGCATCCTGAGACCGAGACAGTGGAGGTGGAGGGTGCCAAGGGGCCGCGAAAAACGGGGTTAGTTGGAGGGAGCGAAGGAGACAGAGGGAATCAGGATACTGGGAGGACACACTATAATAATTGAAAAAGGAGGGAGTGTATTGAAAGGTGAGATCATTAGTTATACTGTCTGGTCTGGGTATGGGTAGCTGGTTAAGTCTGAGTTGGTTTTGAGTTTGTAAGTTTTCAGACTCAATTAAAACTATGGTGAGGGTTTGGTTCTCTCATAGGGTCTTGAATATAGTAGCCCATTTAAATCTGGTTAGAAATAAAATACTGTATAACATTTAAATGTGAGCATCCTTGGGCCCTATTGTCAATTTCACCAATCGGTCTTATGGTGATTAAATTCTGTCAACTACTGTTGTTTCTGGAAAGTCTGAAAATGTGTGTCTTGCTTCTGTAGCTGGTTTATATCATTGCCCTGTATTTTTATAATTTTTGTGTGTTTTATTCCATGTAAAGTCAGTTAAGCATACACACTAATGTTACATGCTGTATCTGTGGGCATCAGGTGGTGGCAGAGTCCAATGAGAGATCATTGTATCATTTAGCCAGCTTTAGCCAGAGGACAGCGTGTGGATGTATGGAAGGGTCAGATGATTCCCGGCCTTGCCATGGCCTTGTAATTGTAACCCTCAGAGCTACTTGCACTCACCTCCAGGTTGGGAGGTCCCAGCACGTCCTGCAGCTCAGATCAATGTACTTGACACCTTCAAAGGTGGGTGTGGGGCCCGGACCTGCTCTGAGGTTAAACCTTTTTTAAATAGCCTCCCGCAGGAAGGCAGCTGTCAATAACACACCATAATTACTGGGGCCAGACCCGCCAAAGGCTCTCCTGCACGGGCCAAATTAAAAATTGATCAGAAAGAGCAAAAACATTATTTTGTGGTTGTATCCCTAGTTCTAACAGCAATGCCAGTCTATTCAAAATCTCATCAGACATTGGAGTCTGTAGAACATATCTATTGTACTGTATAAACTCCCCTTGTCCGCACTTCAATAGTGTACTTCGCTCTGAAATAGTTACGTGTCTGTTATTGTACACATTGGTCTGTGTGTAGCTGTTATGCTTGGGGTAACTGTAGATATATCTGAACATGCTGTTTGAGTTTACATGGATGCACCTCACAGCAATGTATTGATTGTAGCCTCATTGAGTCGGAGCATTCATTTGTCAATCACAAAACGATGTAAAGAAGATAATGTTCATCCTCAGGCATCCATGAAGAAACACAGCTTTTATTTCACTGGATAAATATGGCTGGATCTATGGCTTATACAAACACATTATGTTGATATCTAGGTTGTCTATTTCAGTGGAATTAATATAAGGTTTAGGAGATCCTCTTGAGTATCCATCGGTTTCAGAATGATAAAAAATAAATGAATCATTGCCATCACATTTAATAATTTAACACAAAATATCCTTGCTTTTGAATGGCAAAAAGTTCACAGCCTTTAACTGAAACCCATTAAAAGCAATGTAACCATATCTTATATGTGCAATTATATAGTCTGAATATTTTTTTATGTCACTTACAACTTACAACTGAAGGGAGAAAGAGAGGATAAAAATGTAAGATTTGTGAAAGAAGGCTTTGATCTAATTGTGAAGCTTTATTAGCAAGAATACTTGAAATTAACAAATTAAATCATCAAATTGCGTTCCCCCTGTGTGTATTTCTGAAAGTGTGTGTTCATGTGTGAGGTGGGGAGTAGGTCATCTGCTGCTACAGGCGCTGTGTGCACGTCCCAATGGGAAGGTTTTGTTTAGTCTCTCATCCAGAGGGCCCCAGGCACAGAGCGGTGGATACCTCTTCACTCTCTCCATGGGAACACTCCTCTTTGGACAGCACTCGCATACACAACCACAGCTCAGACAATAGTAGGTACAATTCATCAACCTGTGCAGTTACATCGTCTAGCTTTTCAAATACACGCTTAAATCACTTTAATAGGTTGCAAATGTGATGATGACACAATTTCAGGGGGAGGCCAGGACCTTAATAACTTATGAGAGATTTAATATTTTTGAAATAAATATTCAGCCATATAATCTAGAAAAGTTGAATAATTTAATTATTTATTAGGAACTGGCTTCACAATCTTGACATATTAATCTTGTGGCTTAGTGTCCTTTGAATTGACAACAATGTCATCTTTTGGGTTTAATAATGTCACTACTTTCTGAAGCTTGTGAAAGAATTTTGGGAAAAAATATTCACTTTTGTTGATCTATATTGGCAGAGAACACATGGACTCTGCCAATTTTTTTACATAGTGCATAGACCCAATAATTACAGAGATATTAACCATGAACCAACAAATCTGGCATATGAAAGTTAAACAGCAAATCCCACCATAGAAATCTGACCTGTTCTGCAGGTCAGTTTTAAACATTATAGAATGTTATGGTGTCATGTGAATCCAACCCATTACACAAACAAACCACACACATTGTACATAATGCTGCTTTCATCTTGTAAATTTCACCAAGTATTCTCCATTGCAACAAAGGTTAAAAAGTGCTTAGCTCGGGACGAACGTGGAGGAAATTGAGTTTTGCAAGGAGCTGGGGGTGAGTGCATAGGCGACTGGCTGTGAATTTACACTGCACTAGGCACACTATGCAGACATACACACAATCATCCAGCGAGCATCTTTTGGGGTCAGAGTTGAAGCCTGCTTTAAGCTCTCCAGCGCTAGTGTCATGATCCTAGACTGGGCGCTCCCCACTTTGATCGATGAGCGGGAACTTAGAGCTTAAATAGAGGTTACCAAGGTTCTAGGGGAACACCGGGGTTAGAGGAAAACAACAACATTTCTTATTCGTAATTGTTTTACTGCTGCTTTTGTGTTTGGAGAGAATAAAACAGGCTGGAAGGAGTCTGCTGTTCTTGGATACTTTTAGTTTATAGCACTGTTTTATCATCTGTAATTGGTTAACATAAAGATATTTAAGTACAGAGAATTTGCATCAACTTTCAATAGTTTACATTATAGATTAAACTTTTGCTTTTTTTATTTAGCATTTTTAAGTACCCTGATATGTTCATGTGGGATATGGGATGTGAATAAGCTAAACATATGAGTGAATTTGTATGTGTGTGCGCTTGGTCAGGATATAAGTAAAGATGGGATCAAGAATAGCATTTGTCTTGTTATCAAACATACTGCAGAGTTTGGTCCTTTCCACTGAAGACAGAAAGGTGATTTCACAATATTGACATCTGCATTATACTGAATGTACATTGTTTTTAAGTAAGTCAATAAATGTTATATTTTGGATTGGTGTGTTTGAGAAAGGGATATCTGTTTTCTAAGGTAAGTTAAAATACTTTATTGTCCATCTTTCAATGCTTCTGTGGCCAGCTGTCGTGGGCTGTAGGTGACTGCACTGCAGCTACCAGGGATGTACCTCCAGATAATTATCTTGGTTTAGTTAAGAAAGACTACACAATCTGGGGGATTAGCCTTTGGTCTATTTATTTGAATATACTTGGACATTTTCCTTTTAAGATTTAAGATTATTGCTTAGCTCAGCGTCTCTTTCCAGAACCATAGTAATAAATGCTCATGTTCATTGTTCCCCACTGTTTTTTTCCTTTGTATAACATCTTTTGATTCAGTCAGAAGTCAATATCTGACTATTCTATTGTTGTATTGGGTCTGGCTATGCGTTCCCTTTATGTGACATTATGGAGCCTGTGATAGGTGTTATTATCTCCGCATATGCTGACAATCCAAACCCTCTCAGGAGCACACACTGGTGATGCTTGGCTGACTTGTTTGCGCTGATGTCAAGTTTTTGCGGTTAGCAGGCAGTTACCATATGCCA